GGGGGGGGGGGTCCTAAAATTGTAGTATTTTGTATAGTTGTATAGTAGTCTTGGAAGGGATGGAGGTAGAAGAAGAGCTCGAACAGCTAAATGAGCTAGTCGACTCGTTTATTAAATGAGCACGAGCTAGAACTTGAACACGAAGTACTCGGCTCGAATAACACCCCTACTCACTGGCTCTTACAAGTGCAACGACAGCTACAAGCACCTGAGTTTAAAGCATAAACAACCAGCATGAACAGCACAACCAAGACAATCACGATTTGACAGGCGAAAATAGCTATTGCCCATTGCACTCTAGATGAAGAATGAAATGTATGGTCAGTTTTCGTGAAAATGAAAAGGCCCAAATCGTCAGAAACCTAACAAAAATGTAGGCTCTCTAGCCACATAAATAACGAGCCACCAGTCTATTATAATGTAAATTGTATGCTTCCTCCGAATGATAAAGTGGTTCTTCTTTCTTAAGCGGCAAATATGACTGTCCTGGCGAAGTTAGTTTGCTTCACTCTCCAAATCACTTAATTTCTTGATCACGGGAAAGGAATCACTATTAACAGCCTATGCTTTCATAGGTCCATGCATCAGTCCCAGCTGTCTCGGCTTCTTCTTTGTGCTTTCTTTTGTGACAGGGCTTTCTTCTTATCCAGCCTTTTCTGTTCCCCAGCAGCAGACCTTTGATCGAGAAAAGAAAAGATTAGTTAATACCGTAATTTTATCCTCATTAAATAACTATGGTAGAGATTTGAGTGAGAATCTGAAAACATATTGATCGACTTTCCTTACAGTTTGGCAATCTTTTTCAATGTCTCTTCTGAAGGAGGTGGCGGCACATATGAAGCAGCATCGATGATAGCCTGCAGCATGCATTTACAAATTGATAGAAGTATACAACGGAACCATTTTTTCCGTGGAAGAAAAATGAGAACAATTACAACCCATTATGTATGATCTCATAGGAATAACTATAAGTAGCTAAAAGGCCTATTCATCTAGCCCTGGAGAAATTAACACAGTGCTACATATCTATATATATGTGTATACATTTCTTATTTTAGCAAGTAAATACCTGTATTTTCGCCAAAGCATCTTCAGTGTTGCCCCTAAAAACTGTACTGTGTAAATAATTGCTCAAGCAACAACAGCAAACGTAAAGGCATAAGGCTGCACTTGAATGCAAGGATTTTGAGTTCTGGAGAGGATAGGTAGTAATGATTTCAAATAATTCCGTAAGAAAAGGATTCCAAGATCCACCCAATGACTACCAAAATAGTTCGAAATGGGCTAAAATCCAATGTAACCTAACAAACTCTTAAGATTTTCGTTAGCAGATTTGAAAAACTCCCCTATCCATTTCCAGAACACCCTCACATCCAAATGGAACCTAAGGGTAAAAGGAAACCCTTACTTCTGAGTTCTAGTCTTTGTTGAAGATATCACAAGCTCCCCATCTTTATTGATCCGGTTCTTCTCCTGTCAAAGAAGAGGGTAGAAAGATTCAATATCGCAACAAGAATATTGCTGACATCGCTTCCCAACTATATTAAAGCAGTTAGGTACAATACCTTCACATTTACTTGGCATAACTAATTTATTTGAACAAATATATGTATTTTTAACACCTAATATGATAGTTTATGAACCCTGTATTTTTTTAAATTTTTATTTTTTGTAAGTTTAGTTCTTCGCTGTAAGGAGACTGCGGTCGCTAATTTTGCAAAGTTCTGTTGAATGATAAAAGGCAGACAACATTCACTCAACTACAGATGCCACCAAATCAAAAAAACATGAAATATCCACAACACATCTGCCGATAGTTCATACGCGATTATACATGGGTGCTACAATGGGTACAAACTAGAACCAGAAAGTAGGCAAAGCAGAAACCCAAACCATAGAGAGACGGAACATTAAGAAACAACTCACCATTTGCATTATCTTCTCCCTCACCCTTTCACTCAACCAATGCGCATTTTTTACATTAAACCTCATGTCAACCTTGGTGTTTACTGCAGCCATAAAAATTCAAATTAGAGCTTTAAAACACCCGAAAGACTGGCCAACTGAAACAATTATCAACTAAGTATGAAATGAGGCATCCGAAACCTTTGTTGACATTTTGTCCCCCTGGCCCACCACTCCTAGCATAACTTACGGTAACATGATCTGCACGCAAATAGAAGTTGAGAAATGTACAGTAAGTCATTCATCGTACAAGGTAAAGCTGAAAACAAATGCTAGATGGATAGCACGAAAAAACAAAGGCATGGATATGTCTGTACACTTATCTCTTGACAACAAGGTAACAAAAGGGCCTGCCAAAGTGACATTCATGCATGGACTAATGTCTAATGATAATCAATTGCAGATGAGATGAAAACTCAACCTGGAGCTAGTAAAAGTTCAATGCTTGAAATAATCAACCACCGGATTACTTTAGCGACATGGTATTGTTGGGAATAAGTGAAGCAAGCTGTGAAACCCCTTTACAAGAAAGATGGAAATCCAGCACTTGTTCACTCAATCACCGCAATCCAATCAAGAAAACAAATTCTAAAACATTTTTCGACTAGTTGAGATAAACCCGAAACACCAAACCATCATAGTAACTCAATTTACCATAGCTAGGTCAGTAATGATCCTTCCTTCCACAACCATTCAACTAAATGGAATTCATCTATACCACAATCATCACCAAACATATTGTTCTGTCTCACACATAAAGATAAAGCTAAACACTGTACCTAGACTTATTTGAGGGATGGGCTCTGCGCCACCTCCTGCGTCTTTGTACCGTTCCTTAGCTTTGTTCATAAGCCGTTGGACCTCAGCCAGCCGCGCCGGAGACTTCTTCTCGCCGGCTCCAGCGCCGGACTTCGTTGAGGAGCATCTTACAGCACAAAATCCGGCCGGAGCTCGTAAGCAAATCCTTCTAAAGCCATTCACCGGCAATACCTGGAGAGAAAAGATTGGTGGAAGAAGCCTGGGCCGGAAAATTGATCGCGCAACCATAACCGCACTGGCTGTGACTCTTATCGCCGCCATTATTACCCTAAATTGCCAACTGATTCGTTTTTCGAATTGGGATGACTTGCTTCTACTGCTCGATGATCACTAGTTCAATACAAAAATGTGGTTCTTCAAATATTATCAGAACAAATAGCAGCCATAGAAGAGTACTCGTCCGACGACGCACATTTCTCAGTTCTCGCGTCCCTTCTATTATGTTTAAATAAACTAATAAAGTTCTTTTTTTTTCAATTAAATGTAGAATTTCGTTAAAGTTGATTTTAGTGCCTAAAATACTCTTATAAATAAGCACATCTGAGAGATTCTACAGTCCCGTTACGAAATTATTTCTTTGTAACTGTTAGATCAACTATCCACCCTCAAATTCTACAGTCCCGTTACAAAATTATTCATTTGTAACTGTTAGATCAACTATCCACGACGGTTACATGCTGATCTAACAATTACAAATCCCGACAAAATAGTTTCGTAATGGGCAATAATCACAGTCGGCATGTGGAAATTTTTCAAGCAAATTTGCTTGCATTAGCAGCCTATGGTACTAAGTTCACTATCCCTGTTTTCTGATTCCATGAAAAGAGACTATTCATCACAAAAGTTGCAACAAAATGGAAGGACTAATAAAAACTAACATTCGGCATAAAAATTCTACTAAATCATCATAAATGTTGACCATAAAAGCCTCAGATAAGATACACCAACAGCACCCCAGATGCAGCATAATCGTACATGCCGAAACAAATGGCTTATACAGTTCAACCGTATAAACAAAAGACAAATAGTAAAGACACCAGACAAAATACCGTGAAATACACTCAGCTTGGTAATATAGATTTTAATAACAGTCGTCAGATTTCAAATGGAGATATATTCAACTCAAAGATATAAGTGCCGGGACTAGATTAGAATACTCGGACAAAATAGTCTCCCAAAATTCCTAACGTTTATTATTGGCCCTTTTGGAGGATCCATTTCCTTTAGAGCTAATGCGTGATGGACCACTATTATCAGTTTTGGCTCTTGCTGAATGACGTGGAGAGGCAGCCATGGCTCTGATATCTGGTTTCGAGCTTCCTTGAGTGTTCGACCTCTCGGTTGAAGGAAGAGCCCATCCACCTCTGCTAAGCCTGTGCTGATTAATGCTTCCAGACCCTAAATTTTTTTAAACTGACGTGTCAAAGAACAAGTGGTCTCGATCTAAATATCATGTACTTACACGAAGGACAAAATAGTAGCATCAAGTGCTTGGAAACTGAGTTCCTTCCCAATTTAGAAAGAATCTATCAAAGAGGAAACCGAATTTTAGTGATGATAGCAAATATCTTACAACTTTAGCCAATTCACAGAGAGCTCTAGTTATCTTTTCCGAGAATACAAATACCTCTTAATGCTGAATTTTACCAACAAGGATCCCAATTTAGAAAGAATCTATCAAGAGGAAACCGAATTTTAGTGATGATTGCAAATATCTTACAACTTTAGCCAATTCACAGAGAGCTCTAGTTATCTTTTCCGAGAATACAAATACCTCTTAATGCTGAATTTTACCAACAAGGATCCTACAAGATATAAATAACTGTTGCTATCAGTTGTTTTATTCTTTTATGCTAAACCACCGAGGCTCTGGCATAGTATTGGTAACTAACCCCAAAGTTTTTCTATACCACCAGAACCGGATGAAGTAAATCAGCTTCTCAATTGCAGTATCTTAGCATGACGTTGAAAAGTCAATCAAGCAATGCAAAATATTTATTTAATCGCAAAACATGTTCGCAATGTAGAATCATCAAAGGATTTCAATAATTCAATCTCAGTGCCTCAGAGAAATTTATAAAATTAAGTTAAATTAAATTAATAAAGAAAGTGTGCATTCGAAACTAAATGATCAACCTACCTGTAGAATCTTGACTAGCAAATCCTTCGCCCAGCCCAGGGAGATATTTTCTGGCATTTCCTTTCCATGCTTCCTCAAAACCCGTAAGTTCATCTAAGCAAAGATACATAAATATATTCCACAAAAAGTGAGCAAAAGAGTCTTAAGGCTATAACATCACATAAAAGAATAAGGTTACCTTCATCAAGATTATGAAGAGTCTGCATTGTGTCAACATGTCCGTCTGAGTTCAACTTCCGGGTGATGGAATGACCCTAGAACAAGATGTACATTTCCGTAAGATTCCAGATTCCAATCACAAACTGATGTTCCTAATATGCAATGGAAAGAACAACGCAAACAGTACCTTCTCATGGATGCCCCTCGAGACCCTATGAGTTGCTTGACGAGTAGATGAATCAGCTTCTTTGCATTCTTCGAATGTCAACTAGATTGGAATATAATATAACACACATACATCAGAATCAACCACCAAGATGAACACCGTATTAAGAAATAACCTGAGTCAGTATTAAGATGCACTCACTCCATCACTGCCCGATCTCCTTGTGCTAGAGGAAGTGTAGTACGCACCATTAGCACCACCATAAGAAACAGTGGTACTTTGGAAAGTGAAGCTATGAGTCTGAGGCTGTGACCTTGCATTTTGCATCTGGTAGATCTCACTTTGGCGAGCCATATGCTTACTCTTTTTCTCTACAAGAACAAAATGTTATATATTATGCCCAGCCAACAAGAACAGTGTGATCAACCACAATGAACGATATATGATAGTTATTTACAATGCACCACACACACCAGTTGCTTCATCATCAGGGTCTTGCACGAAAGGCTCCTTGCCAGATCTTCCATGTTTCCTAGGATTCTCTTTTTTATCTTTTCGACTTTCCTTTTCATCAGCCTCCTCATCAGAATTCAGCTCCTCAATCACTGGTCCCCTTGATGAATTGAGCCGGGCAGGATGATGTTCAAGAAACCCAGAAGAAAGTGGATTCATAAATGGACCTCGGTTAGACCCAAATAAGTTCGACTCAAACATGCTTCCAAAGGGACGTGTGAAAAACGGGTCATCAAACGGATCATTTCCACCGAAAAAACTAGAGATTAGACTTCTTTGGCCTCCAAAACTACCGAAAGGATCACCAAAACCAAAGAATGGGTCTCTTCCCCCCTGCATATTGTATGTGCGAGCTCCCTGGATAATCAGACGCAAGTAAAGCAATAAATTAAAGGGATATACTCAAACCTCTGTTTAAATTAGACCAGAAAAAAGGTACCTATCCATAATTTCCAAAAATACAACCCAACAAGGTCTCCGTTTTCTGCTTTACACAACAGAAATCCCACAATCTCACATGTGGGGCACACAACCATGCGCCGTGTAAATAATGCATAAATTGACAACAGTTAGAGAAATTAAAAACATGAGGGCCAAACAAAACAATCTTATCCTTACCATCAAAAGTCCGTATTGCATCGGAGAGAAACGGGTACCTAATTATTTCAATCCTCCCCACCAAATCAAAAAGGTTCAGGCAAGATTACCACAATGCCAAAAGTCGATCGATAGCAAAGTAGATAGATGAAACCAGATGTGCTACTACCATTTAGTTACACCTCAGACATTACCACTAACCTTTTTAACTATGGTGATCTCCTACAGAGACGATTCATTGGAACGTCATCATCCCCTACTCGAGCAGGACAACATCAACTCAATCAACACGCAACAACACGCAAAGAAAACAAAACGATCTATCAACCAACTCAACTCAACTCAATCAACACGCAACAAGACGGATATCGCCATAAAAAGAATTGAATTCAACATCGCAATTAAAGCTCAACGCACAGATACAAACACGTAAATACAAATCAAAACACGCGATCAGGTCTGTCTGTGTGCGAACCTGACGAGTGGGAAGAACAATTGAGAGCGTCCGTACGTTGCAGAAAAGCGAGCTGAGAATGGAGGAGAATGAATATGGCAACAAATGATCCACAGACAATATTCTAGATTTTGTGGATGCTAATAAAGGATTTCACAATTTTGGAAAATGGTGAGAGAATGAATTGAAATTGAGAGATTCTGGTAACGGGCCATAGGCTCAGTAAGTCCAGAAGTTGTTGGGCTAATTATAAATGGACTTATAATCTCAATTAAACTGTAATTGGGCTCGGTAGTAGACTCCAAATAATAGAACTGTAGAATTACACTTTTTATCCTATCTTTAAAAATATGCAACTAAGTATCACTCATTCAGTCATTCCCTTAAAACTTAAAAGCATACCTTAGTTTCCCTATGCTTCAATGTATGTGTACGGATGTGTGCTTTGATTAATTTGCTACCACTCATCAGTACCACCGTGTGCCTTGGGACACCTAGCAATTATGCACGGGCGGATTCATCCTAAAAAAACCAGAAAAATGAGAAATTGTAGTACACATGCCACTTTCTTTTTTTAATTGAAAATGAGAAATGTTAGATAAATTAAAATATCATTAATTATTTATATTAAAATAAAAAAATAAAAAAACTAAAATTCATAATTTTTCATTCTTTATAATAGAGACCACATTTGATAGGTTTTTTAACATAATTTTTTTTCGTAATCAATTTATTATACTGACATAAGATGAACGTGTTACATAATAAGATGGATATGTTATCAAATAAGATGAACATGTTACGGATTGCATAATGAAATAATACATGTTCATGTTATTTTATAACATGTTCATCTCATTTTTTAACATATTCATCGTATTTTATAACATGTTCATCTTATTGTGTAAATATGTAATATGTTCATCTTATTATGGACTTGCGTCTTCATCTTTCAATAAAGTAAATTAAATGTGAAAAGTGATAAACTAATTGTGTTCTAAAACCTATCAAATGTGGTATCTACTTGTAGAGAGTGAAAAATTATGAATTTTGGTACTTTTATTGTTATTTTTGAATATAGAATAAGAATGATAATTTAATTTATATAATATGATATATAAAATTCATTATCCAATAGAAATGGGACACTGTCCCATTTAAAAAAAAAAAAAAAAATACCTCACGCACTTTTTTTGATGATTTTTGATGAATTGTATTGCACAAATGTCTTGTCACACCTAGCAAGGTGTATCAGGGGCAGCGACCACTCATTCCCTTAAAAGCATAGCACTTTTTTTTCATTTTTTTTTTCATTTTTTCATTTTTTATTTTTTAGTTCATGACTTCTTATTGAAGATGTAATAAATATTCCCAAAAAAATATATACTACTCCTATTTTTAATATATGTCATTTTGAGAAGTTGCACATTAATTAAAAATATATTTTTTGGTCAATAATAACCTTATTTAATAAAGATAGAGATGAATGTTTTGAGAAAAGGTGAAGAGTGAATATGAAAAGACGTAATGTATTTATTAGCTAAATGGGGGTAATAATGAAAAAATATGTACAAAAAATCCAAAACGACATTTATTTTGTTAATAGTTGATAAAGAGAAAATGACATTTAAAAAAAAAAAATAGGAGGGAGTATATTTTTTTACAAAAGGTTATACTAATACTATAAATATCATATTGTTATTTATATATATAATTGCTGGCAAGCTTCAATAAATTTTATTCAGCTAGCAATTAATAATAATATGAGTTCATTTAAGAAAAATATGTATTCATTTAATAAAAATATGTTTACCATTTAATAATAATAATATGTAACTTTTAGTTACACAATTTATTTGAATGGTCCCATTTTGGATGGTGCTCATTTATGTAACACCTTTTTTTATTTCCTGAAATAAAAAATATTTTTGCTTTTATTTTCATACTATATATTTTTTGGTATTATACAAAAGCATATTTCACAACTAATTAAGAATGACTACAAATATTTTCATTTTCTATTGTAGTCATACAATAATAAAAAAATATTTTTTCGGATATTACAAAGATACATCAGATATTTTGAAAAAATTAATCAAATCCTAGGGTCATGAGTCGAAGAAGTTTACCAATAATGACTTGTTGTGATGAGGATTCTGACGATAGAAAAACAACGAATGTTATGTATAAAGAAATACTTAATAATATTTATCAATTTTTTAATTATTTTTTCTCATTTGTTAAGTTATGATTTTTATTTTATTCTGTATTTTTAATTACTTTCTCTTATATTATTTCGTTTTCGTGCAAATGCACGGGGTAAAACTAGTTTATATTGCATATTGAAGAGTATTTAAAAACATATTATTATTTATATTGTATGTTGGAGAGCATTTCAAATAGTATGATTATGTAGCCATTTAAACAATATCATAGAAAAACTACCATTTTCAATTGAATTTACTGTTCAATTTGTATTCCATCATATTTATTTTACTTGATGACCTATTAAAAGTATACAATGTGTCGATCATATATATTTTCAAGAATCATTTATAATGCTTGTTGAAATTAAAGCGTGGAGAGCTTATATAGTTTTGGAATTTTGAAGTGAAATGAGGAGAAAATTAAAATAAAAGCATACTTTATAAGTACTATTTTCCACCACAATTAATATATGGCTAGATAGATTACAGAATATATATTTCAATAACTGCGCCAAATTGAAAATCTACCTACCATGTTTATTTAATCATACTTTATATTAGCATTGGAGTGGAGAAAAGATATTATAGACAAAAAGATAGATTGTCTCCTATATTCATCATTATATATACACCCTTTATCTTTTACTTTACCATATTAAAAGTGGGGTGTAATGAAGCATAAGAATTGTAGTAAAATTGTACAATCTCTTAATATATATATATATACATATATATTTGCCCATATTTTTTTTTTTTTTTTTT